CTCACTATGCCATAATTACAATAATGGTTAGACCTGCTGCTAGAGCTTGTTATTTAATGCATTACTAAAGAAGCATATTGCTATAATCATAAATTTGTTTAATATTTTGATGGCTATATTTCAATATAATTGATTTCCTTTGTTAGTCGATGTATTTTTATTTGCGCATTTCAAAACGTTCTCCAAAGAAAGGGTCAAGCCTCACCAGACTGCCCAAAGGATCCAGGGCCCAAAATAGGTTAAGAACCCCTGTTTGGTGACATAAAGGGACAAGCTCTAGAGTCCAACTTGGATTCAAATCCAGGCTCTGCCAATCTCTAGGGCTTGTCCTTTGAGCAAAATGATTCAAACTCCCTGAGCCTTGAGTTTCCTTGCCTCGGTCGAGGGAGCCAATATAGAAACCATTTAGTCGTCAAAAAATTAACCGAATACCTACTTACTTTGTGCCAGGCGTGAGGCTGAGCTGTGGGGCTACGGCAGTGAACACGACAGAGAGGGTCCTTCATACAGAAGGGCTTTGCTCTGCAAAGTGCCTAGCAGTGACTGGCACATAAGCATTCTGAAAATACTACGGCCACTATTGCTAAGACCCCAACGCTGCCTGTGTAATTGTATGCGGATTTATGTTGCTCCCGATTGTAACAACTGCTGGCTCATCTGGCTCACGCCCTCCCTTATCGGGGAGGGGCTGGGCCGCGCACTCGCAGAGGGGCCCCTGGTGAGATGGAAGAACACAGGATTTGAACCAAATGACCTTGGCTTCAAAACCCTGTGCTGCCACTTACTAGCTCTGTCACTCGGCCAGCAACCCGTTGCTGTCCCTCCAAAATCTGTTCTCTCCTCAGAACCCTCAGTTTTTAGCGGGACGCTCAGAATTAAGGATGATATTTCTCAGCCTGCCTTGCAGCCAAGTATGTTCATGCACTCAAGTTGTAGCCAACGGGAATATAAGCAGAAGAGACGTGTGCAACCTTCAGGAAATGTCTTTAAATTGCGAGGTCTTGCCCTTCGCCAATCCTTTACCTCCTTCGTGATGGCTGGGGCTAGCATAGCCATCTTGGACCATGCCATGACCTTGGGAATGGAGGCAGGCACGTGGGGCAAGACAGAAGCAGCCTGGATCCCTACCACTGTGGAGCACCATATCCAGCAGGTACAGTAGTCTACCTGAGGCAAGTTCCTTAAACTCCCTGGTCCTCGTTATCTCCATCTACAGAAAGGTGATGATGGGAGTCCTCTATCCAGTGAGTATATCTGGAGGACTTAATGAGACAGGGCTTGCTTCACAGCAAAAGCCACAGCTAGAAGAGGTGGTATCGTTACTGTTCTTCTCTTATTACGATGCAAAATGCAGAGGACTGGGGCGTCCTAACACAGCCCTGGGTGCACAGTGGTGGCTCAATAATTCACACAGTTGGAGGGCATCCTAGACAGTCTAGTCCTCCTGACAAGAATTCCCTTCTCCGGCACCCCGGTCAAATGGTCCCCAGGAAAGGGAAAGTGTACCACCTCTGCGACAACTGGTGGGGACAGTGTTTGTTCACCCATAAATCACGATCTTCAGAACTCTTTCCCCGACTGCCCCAAGCTGCTTCACTTCTGTCTTCTGCCTTTGAGCATGAGTCCTGCCTCTGTGCTCACTCTCATCAGAACATCAAAGTTCCCTTCAATCTCTTTTGGAATAAGAACGCTCTGGCCTCTTCCCTAACTGAGAGGTAAGTGATCACTGCCTCAGTCCCATCCTATTTAAGCAAGAGGCTTCTCAAACTCTACACATCAAATTCTCTGCCGCTGGGGGGGGGGCACACAAATGCTCACGAGCCAGCTACAGGTTCTAAGCGGTGCTGATCCAGAGATGTCCCAGTCTCCGATATCTTCCCTGGCTAACACTTTTTTAAAGCTATTTCGTCTCGTTTGCAACATCAGCACTGGCCTAGGAGGCACAACTATTCGTGGCTATATGCAAAACTGAAATGTGCTCTACGGGCCTGAAGCTTATATTCCTCTTTCCCCGACTGCCCCCTTCCTGTTCTTGCAGACACAAATCCTATGCTGTCTCTCCCACAGTGCTGTCACCTTTTCACGTCACTGTCACTCGTGCAGGCTGCTGCCAGGCACAGCCCTGGCCACCTCTCCCTCTCTCCTCATTCCCTCCTTTTTCATACGCATGCCACATTCACGTCACGGTCACACCAGCCCTGGCTCTCTCTCTCTCATCTTCTGCCTCTCTGGCTCCACCCATTCTCAGCAGTGGAGACTTCACCAACCCTCGTGGCTCAACCGGGGCCGGGCTTCAGATGGCTCTGGAATTGGAACAAGGGTGGCTGTGGCCGCCGAGGGCTCCCAAGTCGGGTGGGGCACCCAGCGCTGCAAGAGGAAGAGACAAGACACAGTGGTCACTGTGGCTTCGGGTAGGACAAAGACAAGGGCAGGAGTCAGCACCCAACAGGCAGAAAAGGAGGAACCTGATCCAAATCCCAGACGCTGCTGGCAAAGGAAGGGAGCAGAAAGCACAGGTCCACCGATGTGGAGGGCGTTGCTGGCATGTGGGAGATCTACCCTGGATACACCCTCGTGTACTGTAGGGTTTTCTGACTCAAATTTGCCATTTCTGGAGGCTGGCAGCACCTGCATCAGCACCACTTTGCAGAGTACTTCGCCTCATCCTACTTTGTACAAACAAAATTTGATTCTAGGTGTGTGACCCACATGAGCATAAAACCTTGGGGTTCTTTGCTCTTTGAAATTCCCATTACACAATAATTTACATTACATAGCAAGAATGCTGACGCATGAATCAGCCCACACCAGACTGCAAGCAGGAAATAAGACCCCCAACCTGGGTTTTGTTCCCTCCCCAGACACCCCCAGCTCTCCAAGGTTACCAGCGGAGTAGCAAGAGCCCCTCCCTGCCCTGCTGACAGTCACCAGGTGACGAGAGCTGATGAGATTTGGGGGGGGGTGCAAAAAAACAGGCACACCGCACTTCTAAACCTTCCCACCCTCACTCATGTCTGGCGGGCTGCCAGTACTCCCCTGCACCTTCGCCTTGATGCTCCTTTCCTCCCTGTTTATAAGGGGGGCTGGGAGTGGAGGGAGGAGAACAGAGTCAGGGCCCAAGCTCCATTCCACAGGGTGGCCCAGAGGGCGAACAGCAGGGGGACCTGCAGGTGGCCTCCCATTTCTAGAGCAGCCAGAAGAAACAAAAGGCACAATGTCCCCATGCCCTTGTTTTGCCATCCGTGGCTCCTTCTCCTGCCCTGGGCCCCACCCTTCCACCCAGCCCTCTAGCCAGCCGTAGCCATCCCACCCACCTCCGACTCCCCAGGGCCTTCCTTGTTTGTCCTCTTGAGTCCACATGAATCACTAATTACTGATTTAAACCCAGACTCTAAGTGAATGACAAATACAGTATGAACAAATATCAACGCGATATTCAGGGCTGGCACACACAGAGCTATCTGCCTTCTTAACTCTGCCTGAACAGACGGGAGACATGGGGACACCGTATCCTCACCCACACCTGGGCACAACACTGACTAACCTGCCCCAGGACCTGGTGTCTACGTGTGTGCTGGGGCGGGGAGGGCTGGCACTAATGAACTCACACACTGGTTCTTTCACTTGGAATTACCTGGGAGAGCAGAAAGACTGATGCCTGGGTCACCCTCCCAGAGAATCTGGTTTAATTGGTCTGGCTGGGGTTGCTGCCTGGAGATCGGGACTTTTAGAAGCTTCCCCCAGTGATTCCAACATGCACCCAAGTTTGAGAACCACCGACTGGACACGTTTACTACATGTTCCAGACATTTTTCAAAGCAGTCAAGATATTTAGGACACCTTATATAGCCTTTCACTGTCAAGACGGCCCTTGGAGGTATCATCCCTTTTTTGCTGAGGTTCATATGGCGATCATGATGAGGCTGAGATTCGAATCAGGCTCTCGAACTCCAAAACCCATTCTTTCCACCCAACTGTGAACTCCTACAAGGGTACAGACAATGCATGAGAGCAATCTCCACTGCCAGCAGGTCATGAATAAACTCTGTAAATGCAAAACATCTAGACTCAGAAATGCAGACACTACAGGCAACTGTGATGACCTCTTCATGCAGGAAGAAACCACGACGGAACCATACAGAGAGGTCAGAGGGCGTGCTCCTATGCGAGGTCTGAGGAGATGGACAGAGAGGATGCATCAGATCCTGGCTAGGAAGGTTATCCTAGACCCAAGATGTGTCCCCAGATACTACACATAAGATGGTGCTCAATGGCATAGAAAGTATGGGCAAAAGGGAAGGGGGGGGCTCTGCAACGGGGAGAGAATCCCTAGGACAGGTGTCAAGGGTTTACCTCTTGGGACAATAGCTCTTCATCCTGCTCTAACCATTCTGGCCTTCTGTAGGGGCACCAAAACCAATCCTAACACATCCCCTCGCAAGCAGCTTCCCCTCCTCCAGTCCCTCTTCCTCCAGAACTATGCTCTGAGTTTAATCTCCAGACCACTTAGGTAGGTCCCTTCACCACCCTATTCCACTCATGCCTACTTCCTCCCCTGCCCAAAAACAAAACAAAACAAGACAAAAAATGATCATCATTACCACTAAACCAACTTTCCCCACAGTAAGAATAACGTTGCCACTTCGAGTTAGGAATTAAGGTGGACCAACACAGAGGCGAAGACACTGAAGTTTATAAGCCACATGGAGCCCCTAAACCACGGACATACAGATGCGGGGATCTCACCGCGAGGCAAAGCCAGGGGCAGACACTTCAAGGACAGCAGATGCTCCTTCTTAAAGACACCAAACAATAGCTCACCGTTCCTCCTGGGTCAGAAATGGGCCTCTTGGTACCCTATTCCAACCTGTGATACACATTGGCGGTGTCCTGGTGTCCCCCAAAGCCAAGTGTTGATGGGAAAGAACCACAAGGAATTACAGGAACCAACAGCAGGTTAAACTTGCCCATCGATCGCACTGATAAGCAGATCCACTTACCCAGCACAGCCAGACAACTCAGCACTGGGAAAAAGCACTTCATGTCGGCAGCAGAGAAGAGACACAACACAGGACGCTCCCTCTTCTCTTGCACTTAATCTCTCATTTCTGGCAATCCACTTATAGCTCCAGAGGACAGTTTTGGAAACAGAACTTAACTCAAAAAATGAGAACAGGTTAAAGAGAAAAGACCAGGAGATTGGGGGGAGGGGGCGACGCAGCGAGGGCGGCCGGTGGCTTGTGTTGAACTCCCCTATGCTAAAAGAAGGGTCCAGAACAATTCTGAAGGCCCTCTAGGCTTCTGCCACATCGTGTGCCTTGCGGTTTCCACTGGAATTGTAGATTGCAGTGAATTAATCCTCGAGGAGAAGGGAAAAAAGAGTCTGAGAAAATCCTTTCATCCACTGATTATACAGAAATGTCCTTGGCTTCCCAGTGAAGGTGTCTGTAAGCTCCCTCATTCGGACTCCCCAAAGGGAACAGGGCAGGTTTCGTCAAAACCTCTGACAGCTAAATCGCCCCGGAATGGCACCGACTGGTTGGGTTTCTTCATCAAAAAGTCCGTCTCCATCCATGTCGGTAGGTCACGGAGCTGCCACCTGCCCCACACCTACCCAGAACACACGAAGCAAGTTGGCGTTCAGTGGCCCCGAAGCGAAGCCGGTCCCACAATGCCAGCAGATTTCTAAAACAAACACAACAGAGATGTATCAAAGGCGAACACCAGCGCCGCAAAACCGAGAGGGGCTGCGCGCTGGGCTGCGCTGGACGCCTGGGTCCCGTTCCCGGACCAGGACAGTCAACCCGCGCGTTCTGACCTTGGGCAAGTCGCTACACTGGCCCCGGCCTCAGTTTCCCTGCCCGCAACAGGGCAACTGCGGGAAGCCCGATTGTTCCTGCAATACTTTGCCCACACGCCTCACTCCAGGGAATTCCCTTCGCCTCCTGCCGAGCCCGGCGCCGCGGGTAGCCCCACCCTCCTCGGGGGCACAGCGGGAGGGGGCTCAGCCGTGGGGCCGCCACTCCCGGTTCCACCTCTGGCCCCCGCCCCAATCGTGGGAGCTCCGCGCGCGCCGTGTCCCAGGTGGCCCCGCTATTGTTTTACCTTCCCGGGTGTTTATTTTTCGCTGATTGGAAAGAAAAGAGACCGAGGGAGAAGCGAGCGGGGGCTGCGCTTTCCGCTGCCGGGGCGCGCTCGCCGCGCGCCACACCGGCCAGGGGAGGGTCTCGGGCCCGACCCCAGAGCGGAGCCGGCCCCGCGCCCGCCGCCGCCCTCCCCGCCCCCTGCCCCGGGTTCCCGGCTGCCCGCGCCGCCGCCCCTCGGCGCGCCGCCCGCGCTCCCACCGGATACTGACCTCGCCCCCCGCCCTCTCCCTCCGTGCGTCGGTCCGGCGGCCGGCGGTCTGGGCGCACGCCTCTGGGGACGCACCGCCTTCTCCTTCTCCCCCCGCAGCCTCACCGGCAGCCGCGCTCCGGCCCCTCCCGAGGCCCCGCCCCTCCAGCTCGGCCCGCGGCACCCGGTGGAGCCGCGCGCCGGGCGAGGGCGGTGGCCTGGGCGAGAGGCCCCGCCCCCGGGCCCGCCCCTTTCCCCGTCCCCGGAGACGCGCGGTCGGGCCCAGAGAGCTGGGGGCGAGGGGCACGCGGGGCCCGCTGTTCTCTCCGGGGCGCACCTGCCGAGGGCAAGAGCCACCCCAAGGCCTGGGCACAGGGGGCGTGTGGCCGGGCAGCCCTGAAAGTTAAGTAGGGCGTTGTACGCGGGCTGCCGGGCCGTGGGCAAGAAGCACAAGGCCCTTCCCAAAGCCCAGCAAAGGACCCACGAGCCTTGAAGAGGGCGGCAAGGGAGCGTGTCCTCTCTCCGGAAAACAAAAACAAAGCCCTAGCAGGAGATTTGGATCTGTTCATGTAGTGGAATCCCATATTGTGCTTCATTCTAGAGCAGAACTTCCTAGAAGTTGTGGCCGAATTGGACTCTGGACACAGCCTGGGTTCTAACCCTGGTTCTTCCACGTCCTTGCTGCTGATCTTGGTGGAGTTGTTTCACCTCTCTGTACCTTAGTTTCCCCATCTGTTGTATGGGGAAATAGCCCGCCCCTACTAAATAGGGTTATGGGAGATGTCCATGGCACACTTGCAAAGCACTTAGAGTGGAGCCTGCCCCAACTTAAGCACTCCGTAAATGTAAGATATAATTATTTTATGAGGAGCAGCCCTACCCAAACAAGTGCATTTTCATCCATTAAATACTTAATGAATACACTCGCCTTCTGGGTAGGAACGGTCAAAAGGTAACGAAGGTAGAATAAGACAGTCCTGCCCTCCTGGAGTTTGCAGTCTAGTGCGGAGACTATAAAACAGGTACGGCAAGAAAAGAACAAAGTGTTGAGGAAGCAGGTGCTAGGACCCGGACCCTGTGTTTTGGGGTTGGGACATGAGGAGGAGGGATTTGGTCAGATCAGGTCAGGTGTCAGGACGGCTTCGTAGAGGAAATGAAAACTAGGTAGAATCAAAAGAGCAGAAGGAGGCTCCAGAGGAAGGAGAGGAGGGAGGCAAGGAGTAACTGAGTCCAGACCCTGAATCAGTATCCTCCAAGACCTAGAGGGAAGAGAGAGTATGTCAGTTAGAGGACCAGAAATCTCTGTTGGGCACAAATTAGGCTGTAGGAAAGTAACAAGAAAGAGCAGAGAAGAAATCTGGTGCCAGAACCTAGAGGGCTTTGTATGATGTGTTAAGGGCTTTGGACTTTAGGGACCTCCTGGGTGGCTCAGTTGGTTGGGCGTCTGCTGGCAACTAAGGTCATGATCCCAGGGTCCTGGGATCAAGTCCTGCATGGGACTCCTTGCTCAGCAGGGAGCCTGCTTTTCTCTCTGCCTGCTGTTCTCTCTGCTTGTGCTCTCTCTTTCTAACAAATAAATAAATAAAATCTCTCCCAAAAAGGGGGAGGGGGGATGGACTTTAGCCCAGGGCCATAGTGAAGCCCCTGAAGGTTCCAAGCAAGGCAGTACTGTTCTCAGATGCACATTTTAGAAAGACTGCTCTGGCCTAGATGTGGAAAATGGGTGGGAGGGGAGTTCCACAGGAGGTTAGTGGGTATTGCTGAAAATCTAGATAAGAGATCCTGGTGACCAGGACCGCAGAAGTAGCAACAGGGAGGGAGAGAAATGAGCAGGTCCCCAGGTGTCAGGAGGTAGACTCCATGGAATGCCAGCTTGAAGGTGAGGAATGGGGCAGAAAAACCAGCTCCACCTCAAAAACTGAGATCAAGAAACATAGGATAAGATTGGATGTATTGAGTTAGAGATGCCCAAGAGTCATAGAAGTAAAGACGTTCAAAAAACAATTGGGGGGCGGGGTGTGGAGTTCAGAACTCAGAAAGGGACTGTGGGTTTGTAAGATGTTTTTCACTCTATTGGACAGTATGGTGATGAAAGGATTTCGTGAAGGAGTATACTGATAATTAACTTTAAAAAAAAAAAGGTTAGTTACCCACTCCCCCAGTGGGCAAGGCAATGAAGAACATGCTATGGGGGATAAAAAAAAATTACTAAGGGGTCTTACTTGCGCTCGCCCCTCTTCTTTGCCTATAAATTCCTTGCAGGCAGGACCTGTACTTTAATTATCCTTTATCCCAAACATCTCTTGGCATTGCAGTCTGCATATTGCACTATAAATACCTCAACTGAATTGAATTGAATTAAATATTTATTACGTATACCAAGTGTTATATGGAAAATCTCTTCTTGTGTGTTAAATATTACCTCTTTTCCCCAAGACAACCCTGATTCTGGCATCTCTCACTTCTCCTTATCTGCTAGACTCCTTCATTTATTTATTAAGCATATACTATGTGCTAAGAAAAGTCTCTGCTCTCACTCGTGGCACTTATTCTGGTGGAAAACACCAACAATGAAATGAATAAATATAGAACATAACATGGCATGTGTTCTTAGGAAAAGTGGGAGATGGGAATCGTGTGCATGTGTGTGGGGTGGGGAGGAGTATTCTGTTCTGGGTGGGTGACCAGGGAAGACGACACCTGATTAGAAGGAGTGAGTGAGCCTTGGAGATTTCTGGAAGTAGAGCGTTCCAAGCTTAGGGAACAGCAGGTGCAAAGTCCCTTAACATGCTCAGAAACTATAAGGTGTGTTGGCGTACCTGAAGGGACATGAGAGCAAAGGAGGAGGAAAAATGTGATCAGAGAGGTTACAGAGGCCAAATCCTGTAGGACCTCCCGGGCTAGCAGGCAATTTGGGTCCCTCTGGTTGCAGAAGAAGGATAGAGTGTTGGGAGGTACCAGTGGAGGAGGAGCACTGAAAAGGAGGCTCTTGTAGTTGTGCGGGTGAGAGATGACTGTGGCTAGGACTAGGGTGATAATGATAATGATACAGGTTGTGAGATATGCGTGGAGTCTAGAAGCATTTTGAAAGTATGTTCAAAAGAATGTTCTGGAGAATTGGATAGGGAGAGGGAGAGAAAGAGGAGAGTCAAGGGATCTGCAAGAAGAGCTACCCCAGCCTGTGTCAGAGCTCTCTGACCCCACCACATTGCCCGACCCCTTATCCAAGACCACACTTCCTAAGTGTTTAGTCCCCAGGCCTCTGCCTGGGCCACTTCCTCCATCCGTGAACCCTGTACTCAATATCCCTTCTCCTTTTAAACTTCTCCACCTGCCCCCCTCCTACCACCTAGACCCCTTGCAGCTTTTTGGATGGTCTGTCAACCCTTGACCCCATCACCACCCCAGATATGCTATGGCTGGTTCCCAGGATAGCATCTTTCTAATTTTCACATGGATGGACCATCTAAGATCTTCAAAGGGCTGTGCTAACTGCAGGGCAGGGAGAGTAGAGTAGAGGCATACCTCCTTTTATTGCGATTCACTCTATTGTGTTTCACAGCTACTGCAGTTTTTACTGCAGTAGGTCTGTGGCGACCCGGCTCAGAGCAAGTCTTTTGGTGCCATTTTTTTTTTTTTAAGATTTTTTTTTTTTTTTTTTTTTGAGAGAGAGAGAATGAGAGACAGAGAGCACGAGAGGGAAGAGGGTCAGAGGGAGAAGCAGACTCCCTGCTGAGCAAGGAGCCCGATGCGGGACTCGATCCCGGGACTCCAGGATCATGACCTGAGCCGAAGGCAGTCACTCAACCAACTGAGCCACCCAGGCGCCCCTTTTGGTGCCATTTTACCAATAGCCTTTGTTCACTTTGTGTCTCTGTGTCACTCCCGTTTTGGTAATTCTCACGATATTTCAAACTTTTTCATTATTATTATATTTGTTATGGTGATCTGTGATCAGTGATTATGACTGGCTAAAAGCTCAGATGATGGTTAGAATGTTTTAGCAATAAAGTATTTTTTAATTAAGGTGAGTACATTATTTTCTAGACATCATGCAATTGCATACTTAATAGACTACAATAATACAATAGACTACAACAATACAATAGACTACAATAGACACTGGGAAACCCAAAAATTCATTTGACTCATTTTTTTTAGCAATATGCACTTTATTACAGTGGTCTGGAACCTAAGTCTCAGCATCTCTGGGGCACACCTGTACAGTGAAAAGAATGTCTCTGTCCTCCAGACATAGAAACCATTAAATGAAGTGCTGAACAGTGGCATGACGGTGGCCCTTTCAGGAGACCATCTACAGACATTGAGTCTTAAGGGAAGGAGACGCGTCAAAGGAGAAGAGGGGACAGAAGTCCCCAGTCAGCAAACGCATCTGGTGTCTGGGCTGAACGTTAGCAACTTGCTTCAAAACAACTTACGTTGGAATGTTGAAACCTCTCCTGGACTGGCCAGGGATCAGGTGGGTATTTTGGACGTTTTGGAAGACTCCTTAATCTTTTCCCCCTGGAGAGTTAAATTCAGAAGCCTACAAAGCCAGACTGAAGCACACCTTCAGCAAAGAGTTGTAGTCAGGAACAAAGATCCAGGGTTGCCTGATTTTCTTACTTTTCAAGAAAAGCCGGAGATCCAGATTTTCATTCAATTTTCCCTAATTTTATCCATTGGAAGCTAGTGTTTAAAAATAAACACCGTAGGGGGAACAATACCACAAAATTTGTAGATAAGATATGGCCAAGTGGTTCTATCAGTTTGAGCTGATTACAGCTCTACTGGAGCTGTAATCAAAGGGCTAATATAAAACCACAAGGGACATAAAGTTACGGTTTTTAAAAATTAGGGGGGGAAAAAGGCATTAGCCAAGTTCTCTTTTGTCAACCAAAAGCAAGTTGAGGGCAAGGCATTTTGTCTAAAGATAGCCCGACACCTTGTGCTCACAAGGACCAGTGTTAATTGCCCTAATGTACTCAAAATGCCAAGTGGAAAGAGCAAAGCCTCCCTATCCCACAGAACAGCCACGTCAGAGCTAAACGTGCCGCTAGACAATTCGGATAGCAAGCTTTCTTCTTGGTGATTAGCCTCCTACACGGGCGAGGATCCCCAGAGCTGAAGACTAGAAATAGCTTACACAGGATACCATCTG